CAGTAACGAAGGATTGTTTGGGAGGTGTGGTGATGGGCGATGGTTTGTTGTTGGGGAATGCCAGCATGGCTTGGGTACGTTTTGGTGGGGATTGTTGCCTAGAGCCAGAAGCTGCTGGGCTCGGGCTGGAGACTGGAGATGCTAACGCAGGTGGTGCTGGCTTGGCCTTGGCTAGGGTGGTAGCACCAGTGTCTGGGGGTGTGGCAATTGACTGTCCTGAAGGTGTTGGTGCACTGCTGGCTTGTACTGCCTCTGGTGGGGTTGGGGCTGAAGACGCCTGGTGTGGCTGCCTCTTTGCCCTCCTATTGCGTTTTGAGGGAGGGGCGCTAGGGGCCGTTGGCTTGGAGACCTCCCTCTCTCCAGCCATGTGGCTGTGCTTCTTGTTTCCGGGACGGGTGGGGCACTTGTCCAGAAGGTGGCCTGGCTGCTTGCAGTACATGCAGAAGGCATCAACACATTTGCCTGTCAGTGTGACAGTGGCTTTGTCAATGGTGACAATGCTGGGGAGGTTTTTCTCATCATTCAGAAGGATAATGAGCTCGGCGCTATCACTGATATAGTATCTGCCTTTGTTGACGTCGATTTCGAGACTGATATCCTGGACAATGCCAAAAGCCAGCATGGCTGCATCGATCTTCTTGACGGCCATCTTGATTGTGTCTTTGGATGCTGCTGAGATCTTGAGTCCACGCATGGTGACTCGGTATAGCCGTGGTGTGTAGGCGAGTAGACGGCAGACCTGTACTGGGGTTCCTTTGAGCGTGAGTGTTGACTTACGAGCAATTTCCAGATCCTCTAAATCACTAAGTGATAATATACCGATGCCTCTGTAAGGGGATACGACGTACTGTGCTCCGCTGTTAGTGGGGAGCTCATATGCTGCCTCCTTGAATTCGGCGATGGTGGAATTCAGTGGTAGTGCATAACCCAAGCAGATATCTCCTGGGAGGGTGGGAACTATCTTGGCAGGTTTTGCCTCAACATTGAGGTCACCTCCCAAGAGGATGTTGTAGCAGCTGACCCGGTTTGACTGGGGGTAGTTGGTTTTAAGGGGTCCTGGTGCGCGTGGCTGATCTTGGCACAGGACCGTCCCATGTTTGGCTACGGTGGACCACATGGGTGCAGGCGGGTTGGCGATGCTGGGCACAGGCAGATCGGCAATGCTGGGTGCCAGGTCGGGGGGGATGACTGGCAGAGGGTCGTCAGTCATAGCAGAGCGTCAGAGGTTTTTCGGGTTTATGCTAATTCGAATTAGCTGGTTTTTTGTACTCTTTTAGAAGTCTGTAAAATTTTTTTTAAAAAAAAAAGTCGCCAGCAAAGCATAATGGCAAAGGAGAACGGCACATCGTCTATATTCTAAATGGGCTAGAACGAAAACTATAATAGGCCTTGAAAACGCCCCGTTAGCACAATGGATAGTGTATGGCTCTCCTAAAGCCATGATCTGGGTTCGACCCCCAGGCGGGGCTCACCCTTTTTATTTTTCTCGCTCTTTGAAAAGAAGCAAAACAACCTCCCCAATAATCGTCAGCGAAAGCAAAATTTTCACTTTCATTAGTTGGCCAAAAAGAAAGTCACCCACCCAATCGTAGTGCAAATTTCTTTTTCAGAAAATCATACTTTTTTTCTTTCCTTTTCGTCTTTTTTTTTAATCCTTTCAATTCAATTAAACTTTACATTAGGGCAAAAGAATGGCAGTTAGCAAAGTCATTTTCATCGAGGGAACAGCATCCGCCCAAATCGAAGAGGTTGCGCGCTTTATCGGCGAACAAAAGCAAGTAGAAAAGTTGGACGAATACGTTAGCCAGACCAAGACTGCGCGCGAAGTGGTGAAGGAGAGCATTGGTGGGGCGCTAGCCAAGGCGCCCGAAGACAAGCTGGAGGCAATGTACAACCAGTTGTTTGGAGTTATAGCAGACGCTGAAGATGTGCAGCTTGAGGCGGTAGCTGAGGAGATTGCGCAAGACGTGGCAGCCCACGCCGAAAGTGGGGCTGGTGGGCTTCGCGTACTCAACAACTTGTTTAACGTTCTGGTGGGCGTGGAGGGGGGAGAGAATTCTGGGCATGCACGAGCGGCAGTGTTTGAAGCGATGGTTGCGCTGGCAGCGCGGACACACCTGCTTGCGATGACGATAGTGCCAGTTGTTGGGCGGCTGCCTGCGATGTTTGGCGAGTGGGGGCTTGCAGCGAGTGAGCGCGTGCGTGTGCTAATGGAGGTGCGCCAGGCACTGGATGCAGCAAAGCTGAGCAACGAGGCGTACGAGGCCGAGTTGGTGCTATTGGAGGTAGTAGATGCGCAAAGCGACACCGAGCGTGCGGCAGAGGTAGCAGCGTCAGCAATCGTCCGTTTTGCCAACGTCGGCGCAGTGTGCGACCTCGATGCGCTGGCTAGTCTGGGCAGTGTGCAGGAGCTGAGCAAGAGCGGGCGCCTTGGCGAAGCTGGAGCGCTTCTCGAGGCTCTGCTGGCCAGCAGCTTTAAGCAGTGGCGTGAGTTTGCAGAGGCCAACACTGAGATGCTGCAGCGTCTTGGCGTGGACGTCGATAGGGCCAGCGACAAGATGCGGCTGCTGACGGTTGCGTCTGTAGCGGCGGAGAATCTGGGCAGCGATGTGCCGTTCAGCACTGTTGCGCAGGCGATTGAGGTCGATGAAGATGATGTCGAGGTGTGGGTCATTGACGTCATCCGCGCTGGGCTGATCCAGGGCAAGATGAACCAGGTCAGCAGGACAGTTCTCCCAACACGCACGACATACCGCCAGTTTGGCGCAGCGCAGTGGAAGGCCGTGGGCGAGCAGCTTGACCAATGGAAGGAGTCGCTGGAGCAGCTTCTGCCAGTCATCACCAACGCCAAGCTTGTAGCGCAGCAGCAGGCCATGCAGATGGCGGGGCAGGCGCGAGTGACGATCAAAGACTAGTGCGGATGGAAGGAAATTGAAAGTGTTCTTTTTTTTCTTGTTCATTTTTCACTTTTACCAAAAGCATCACAACCAAAAATATTTTTTCCCTCTCCCTTCGTCTCCTGGCCAGAATGTACTCGCTGAATGCACTCGAGCGACTATGCGCTGCAGAGAGCGGGCTTGTGGAGCTGCAGCTGGACACCTGCAGACGGCGACAGGCTTCGGAGGAGGCGCTCCAACGAGTGCGGCGGGTACAGCAGGCGCGGCACGCGTTGGCGGCCGCGATAGCGCGCGTAGAAGCCAAGAAGCGCATGGTTGAGCAGCGAGCGATGCTTGTAGAAGCGGCGTCGAGCGTGGCCGAAGCATATGCGCTGGGCGGTGCCGAGCCATCGTCGCCGGCTGGCGTAGAGGCAGCAGCAACACTAGTAGCCACGCGGCGGCGTGTGCGGCAGGCGCGCATCATCGTCGAGGATCTTCGGGCAATGCTTGCGCGAGAGCGAGCGGCGTGCGCAGCCAAGCTGCAGCAGGTGTTCCCGATGGAGCCGGATGGAGCCAAATGGACGATCTGCGGGGAGGACCTGCTTGCGGCCGATGCGATTTCCACACGCGCAGCAAGCGAGCAGACGGCGCTGGCGCTTGGGCTGGTTGGCAGCGCTGTGGATGCGGCTGCCAGATACTTGAGCGCTCCTGTTCGCTTCCCGGTGGTTGCGCGTGGCCCGCGCTCGGCTGTGGTTAACCCAATGTCGCAGACGCTGTGGCCGCTGTTTATTGGCCGAGCCGCCGACCGCGGGCGCCTGCGAACGGCCCAGCGGATGCTTTCTGTCAACGTGGCGCAGCTGCTGGCGCGCCTGGGCGTCGATGACGTCGACTGCCAGCAGGCTGTTGTTGCGAATCTGGCGCAGCTGCTGATGGCGATTGAGAGTGCTTCGTTTGCTTGATCGCAATAAAAATGTTGAAAATGTTTTTTCTTTCGTCTTATGCCTTTGGTTTTGATGCTTCCTTTCTTTTTTATTTTTAATTTATTACAAATTTAGCCTCTATCTTTCTTTTTATTTTTACAGCAATGAGCGTTGAGGATCCGTGCGAATCACCAAGCTCCACCCGACCCAGCCGCAGTCGTCCCCGCGCCAGCGACAACGTCTACATCGAAATAACACGGCCGGTATATCAGCGCAGGCGCGGGGTTGGCGCAATGCCGGATACTGCTGCCAGTGCAGCGACTGCCAGACAAATGGCAGGCGAGGCCCTTGTGCTAGCGTGGGCGCAGGGGCTTTTATCCAGCAGGCGCCCGGTTAGAAGCGACGAGGTGAGCACAGTTTGCGCGCTGGCTAGAGTTACCAAGCGTGAAGCCTGCAGGCTTATTTCAAGCCGCATCGGGGCTCGGCTTGAGCCGGTTGCACGCGCTTCCACCACATACCACATTGTACCTAGTGAAGACACGCAGCAGTCGGTGGCGGCAGCGCTGCCAGGGGGCGGGGTTGCTGGCAGTGCGTCGGCATTGCTCCGATGTCTGGCTGAGTATATGCGCGGCCTTGATGCGATCGAGGAGGGAAGGGCCGGCGCACCTGGCAGCAAAGACGTTGAAATTGGCCTGGACGATATGGCCATAGACAGCGGCAGCATCAGCAGCAGAATCTCTGGCGACAGCATCTCTGACGACAGCATCGATATAGGCAACGCCATGGGGAGCGGTCGCAAGAAAAGAAGAAGAGGCAATAACGGCACACGCACTAGTGCAGGCAGAATCAGCCCAGACGGACTTGTGCTTGGCGAGGATACTCGCAGAGAAGACTATTCGGCTGCTTTGGCGACGATAGCGCGTGTAGATTTCGAGTCAGCAGCAGTGAAGCGCATGGGCGGCCTGCCAGCACACTGCGCCGTTGGAAAGCGGGCGGGGCCCCAAAAGCAAGGCACGCACGAGTACACGATGGATGGGATCCCGCAGCCTGTGGATCCCGGCCGCTGGCTGGAGCGGGTAAAGGCGGTGTACAGCGGCCCAAACGTGCGCATAGCGAACCGGATCCAAAATTGCACATGCATGCGCGAACTCGCCATGGGCCTGTTCATGTGCACAGGATGCATGCGCCGCAAAGCCGAGGACATCTGCCGGTTCCGATGGGTTCGGCTGCTGACGGAGCTGACTATCAGCCCGCCCGGAGCACCCAAGCGCACCCGCTTCCTTCTGGCGCCGATGCTGGCGTCATCGTCTGACGCTGGCCCGCTGCCTGTCAGCATCGCCACGCTCGGGATTTCACGTGACGAGCTACGCACGTGCACGCCGAAAACGTGGGGCGAGTTCTACATGATCTATACGGCGGCGGCGGGGCTTGTGCGCCAGCTGACTTATGAGCTGCGCGCCGCTGCCTCCGCCGATCCCGATCCAACGCAGGACGTCGAATATGGGCCCCATCCGGCGCTTGGATGCTCTGCGGCGCCTCTTGTGCTGCGCCGCGCCGCCGCCGGCAGCAGGCAGCTGTGCGATGTGTGCGCTGCGTCGGTTCTGTGTGCGTACTACGCATGCTGCATGTGTGCGGCGGAAGTCTGCGTGCACTGCTTTGCCGAGTGGGACGACTCGGCGGCGGGCAGGCGCGCACGGCCCCTCACGGCCAAGGCTGCGAGCCCGCCTCCACGCATTCTGCGGTGCAAGCGCATCGGCCAGTGCGGCCGCGCCAACAGCTACTTTGCGATCCATCGGCGTGTCCAGTTTGTTCGCGTTTCTACCGTGTCTCCCAACGACATCCGCAGAGCCGCAGCCAAGGCGCGCTCTGTGCTGGTGCTGGGCGCAATGCTGGGAGGCCCGGGAGCCTTTGACTGCGGCGGCATCAACGAAGGGCCTGCTTCGGCTCCGCGTTCTGTTCAGGCTGCTAGCGGCGACCCGCACAACGCCAAGCTGCATGCTTGGGAACGGCCTGTTGCCTATGTTATGCCGGGCGAGCTGACGACGCGCGAGTTCTCGCGGCTGTGGAAGGATGGCGTTGTTGTCGTAGTGCGTGGCTTGCTGCCGGCGCTGAACAAGGAGCTCTGGCAGCCCCAGTGGTGGATCAGCAACGTTGGAAGGCTCCCAGTCAGCGTCTGGGATTGTTCCAGCGGCAAAGCCATGGGCGAAGCCTGGCCGCTGCGCGATTTCTTCCGCCTGTTTGACGGCGACGACAGGCATGCTCGTTTATTCGGCGCCCCGCCTCCTGGCGAGGATAACCATTTATTCGGCGCCCCGCCTCCTGGCGAGGATAACCATTTATTCGGCGCCCCGCCTCCTGGCGAGGATAGTATGGAGGGCCAGAGCGACAGCAGCGATGCGCCCCAGCGCAAAGCCCCGCCCAATGCGGAGGGTAATGCGATGAGCGAGAGCGATAGCAAGGATGCTAAGCCTGCCGTTGTCGACAAGTGGCGGCAGCATGAAAACGAGGTCAAGCAGCGCATCCTCAAGCTGAAGGACTGGCCGACCGCCGACGACTTTGCAACAGTGCTGCCCAAGCAATTCGCGCAGCTGATGTCTGCGCTGCCATTTCCCCAGTACACACACCGCGACGGGCGCTTCAACATGGCTGCGCGCCTGCCAAGCGAGCATGTCC